TTTTCCTCCTTTTTCCTTTATTTCTTATTTTCTTTCTCATTTTCACTCTTTTTTTATTATTTTCTTTTTATTTATATATTCTATTTAATTTTCTTTATTCTTTTTCTTTATTTTTTTAAAAAGAACCAAAAACTATTATATTCATTTTATTTTAAAATGTTATTATTATTTTCTTATTAATCTAGATGTTTATTATTATTATTTATTTTGTTAAATAAAATCTAAAATTTGTTTATTCTTTATTTCTATTTAAATCAAAATTGATTATTTTATTATTTTATTTTTTCCGTTTTAATATTAAACATGTTTATTTCTTTTCTTATATTAAAAATATTTTATTTTTATTTTATTATTTAAATTTCATTTTGATCATTTATTAATCATCCACTCTTTTAATAAAGAAAAAAAACTATTTCTCAAACCCTTACTCATCAAATCCTAATCTTTTTTTTCAAACCATAATTTTCTCACCAAATCTGGATTATCATCAAGTAATAATTCTCATCAAGTCCTAATTATCATCCAGTCGTACTTCTTTCTTAAACCATAATCTCATCCCAAACCCTTTTTCAAACCCTTACTCATCAAATCCTGATTCTATCTCAAATCTTAATAATCAATCTCAAACTCTATTCTTCAAACTTGAACATTTCCTAAACAAGACTTTACCCATTTGTCAAGTGTCTTCTCAACTTTATTTCTTCATCAAGGATAACTAAAATACTCTAAAGTACATCAATACTCTTTTGAAATAAACTTGAAAGAAAGTAATTGTTTGAAATCTAACATCCTAGCAAAACTCTTGAAAGATTGGTCTTAAGTCTTGCACATTGAGCTAGCCAATTATTTCCTTCGTTCATCCTTAAAACACTAATAAATAGCTTGGACCAAGAGGTGTTAGAGTCTATCACTCTAGCACAACTCTTTGAACCATTTATCACTATCAATGTTCATGGTCTACAAATAATTTTCTTAATCAATATTGAATGAAAAAGGTTGTTAGAGTTTAACACTCTACCATAACTCTTTGAACAATTGATTATCATCAATTGTTCATCGTTCTTAAAATATATCTAAACCACATTCAAACTCAGACCCGAACTACGATTGCTCTGATTTTCTTCTTATAAAGATACGTAGGCACTTGACTGCAAAATCTTGGCGAGTAGCCTAATAAAAAAAAACCTTTTAGGTCTTCCCCTTTAATATAAAAATCATAAAAGAATTTCTCCAATCTCTTTTCCCATTCCATAAGTAAAAGATTAGAAACTAACCTTAAGCTAACCTTCATTCAATCTTAGATAAATGGTTCCCGTTGAGTACAACGAACGTGGGGGGTGCTAATATTTTCCTTTTGCGTAACCGACTCCTGATCCTTGTCTTTTCTTTTAGGGGTTTTATTCTATATTTTCTCTTTCCTTCCATGGGAATAAATCAAGATTGGTGGCGACTCTGTTAAGTCCATCCTACGGGCATGCGATTGCGCTTCGCGAGGTCGTTCTCATTTTTTGAGTTACGACAATTACTTTACTGTATTTTTTAGAGTAGTAATTATATTAATAAATTTTTTAATTTTACTTTATATCATATTATTATACTTAAAATCAATTAGTAAAATTAGAGAATAATAAGTAGATGTCACAGAACAAAAAATCAAGTAGTCTAAAGATATGTTCTTTTTTAAGAGTATAATTTTGAGAAAACAATAGTATTCACATAAAGCAAGTCAATTATGATGAGAAATAAAAAGGAGTGTGCGCCTGAAGAGAAACTTAGAATGTTTCGATGAGATAAACCAAATATCATATTGTTGATTTCTAAGAGGATGAGCAAATTGCATAAATCTTTAAATGCTAAAGTTGAGTTAATTTGATGAGAATATTGATCATTCTCCTCTTAAGAAGTTCTTTACAATTAAGTTGTTGGTGTTAAGTATAACAAGTGTGAGTAGTATGGATAATAGTCTTGCGTTGGTTAGAAATGTGGAGACTTGAGCATTTATAAGTGTGAAAACTCACACACTTATTACCTTAAGGTTTTGGATGAATATATGGTGTGTCTCTCACAAATTTGTTTCTCTAGAAAGGAAGTCCCACGAATTCTCAATGCTCCCTAGTAAAAAAAACTCTCCAACAGTGGTATCAGAGTCTTTGATTCGAGTGAAGGATTGACTCACTTGTATTGAAAGTACTTCCTACAAGTGGTGGGTATGAGGTGTCCCGTTAAAAAGTGTCAATGGCGATACAAGTGTATGTGGATGAAAAGAGTTTTCGCTTAAGGAGGAATATTATGGATAGACTCAGGCTTCAAGGAGAGTGTTGAATATAACAAGTGTAAGTAGTATGGACAATAATCTCACATTGGCTAGAAATGTGGAGACTTGAGGATTTATAAGTGAGAATCCACACACCTATCACCTTAAGATTTTGGGTGAATATGTGGTGTGTTTCTCACAAATGTGTTGCTCTAGAAAAGAATCATGAATGTTCAATGTTTCCTAGTGAAAAAAAAAGTCTCCAACAGTTGGATTATCCTTTAAGCTTGAAATGATCACATCATTGTAGCATTAGTCAATATCCATTCAACAATATTAAACATTCAGCTTCAATCTTTAAATTAGATGACCAACTAGAGGCTTGAAACTTAGGACACTTCTATGAGTGATGTCCAAATTATAGTTGACAAAATGTTAGTGATCATACTCTTTGATGGTGAAGTTGAAAAATGCTCAAACTAGACCACGTTCTAATCTTACTAAGAATTTTGAAAAAATAAATGAAAATATATATCGGAAATTTTAAGACAATTCAAGAACTAACTATAAAATTTAAGTCAAATATTGTTTTGGCAAACAAAGTCTTTAATCCTAATTCTTAAAAAAAATCATAATAAGGCTATGATCATTCTTAAACTGATAACGATTCAAGTACTGGAAAATCATCTTGATCCAAAAAGACTTGTGATATTTGCTTTACTTTTACACCTTTTCAAAACTCTACTTTCAAAAAAGAAATGGGGAGGTCAAATTCTTAAAATATTTAAGGAGCTCTAACTTCTTAGGTGAACAATAAAAGAATTTTAAAACATACTCTATCTAAAAAAACCTATGATGATGTTAATGAATTTTTATCTTAGAGAACTCTTGCTTCAATCGAAAAAAATTGTACGATTAAATTCTAAAGATTTTATTAAAAATCATGAATTTCATGAAGTTGTTGGATTATCCTTTAAGCTATGAATGCAACAATATTATACATTTAAATAGAAATATTATTGAATAGAATATAATTGTAACATTTTACGTATTTAAGGGAACTGTTTTTGAAAATAGAATAAACTTATAAACGTATCCTTCGGTGCAGTTATAGATACTAAGATTAATTTTCTTTTAAGTTTTGGAAATGTCAACCGCTCAAATCAATGTTTTAAAAATCGGATCGAAAATTGAACTGGTAAAACTTATCATTTAATGTTAAATTAGTTAAACCGGTTAAATATACGATTTAACTGTTTATTAAATAAATTAATAATATAAAATTAAATTTTATAAATATGTCACAGTTATATATTTACAACTTAATAAAATAAATATGTCCTAAATCTATTACAAATTTAATACAACAATATGGATAATACATAACATAATTTTACACTTCATTTCAACCCTCATTTAAAAATATTTTAACCAAACTAAAAAAATACAATATAATAAATTAATCTAATTTAAACTCAAATTAAAATAATAGAATATAATAACTAAAATAAATTTTAAATAATTAAAAATACCTAAATTAAATAAAATAGAATATCAAAACATAAATAATATAATACACATCCTTAAACAAACAAAAATAATACAAAAATATTATTTGAACTCATATTTCGCGCTAACCACAAATATACAATCAAATTTATTAAACAAGTTACAGTTTATAAAAATCAGAAGAAATAAATAAATAAATACATAACTAAAAATCGTTCGCTCTGACCTAAATTAAATAAAATCGTTCGCTCTGACCTATATTTGTAATTAAAAATACCTAAATTAAATAAAATAGAATATCAAAACATAAATAATATAATACACATCCTTAAACAAACAAAAATAATACAAAAATATTATTTGAACTCATATTTCGCGCTAATCACAAATATACAATCAAATTTATTAAACAAGTTACAGTTTATAAAAATCAGAAGAAATAAATAAATAAATACATAACTAAAAATCGTTCGCTCTGACCTAATTACACAATCAAACGCAAATTTAATTATATATTAATAATAAAAAATCAATTCAAATAGTATATGAATTAACAATTTATTATAACAAAGATTTTTCTTTTAAAGATTATTTAAATAAGAGTCTTGATAAAATGTTCCTTAAAGTCATACTAGGTTTTCTAAAAGGCTAGCTCAAACTTAAAAAAAACTTCATAATAAATCATAAATTAGATTCAGATTTAAAAAGTTTATTACAAGTCCAGATCAGATTTGTTAGAGAACTATGAAGGTTAGCCATCAAGGTAATATTGAAACTATCTTCCTCCATGTTGAACAAACAATTTAAATACATGGTTTGCCGGGAGGGACATTGAGTGGCTCTATAGATGAGGGTTAAAGTGGTAATGCTGAATTCAGATTCTCAAACATTAGTATCCAAAGTCGAAAGGGGGTATTAAGTTATGGATCTAGTTAAGCAGCAATACTTATGGTAACCAAAGGTGATATAAAAAAACAGATGTGTGGATGTTTGCGCCAATACATAAAAAGTAAATTTGTATGGAGACAGACGAGTGGATGATTAAATTCTTAGAAATATCATGGCAAAACAAAAGTGAATAACTAAATTAGAGTAACAATGACAACCGGAAACAGCAAAATCATACTAAACAATTGAAATGCCTAGGAGAGAACTCCAGCTAGAAGCAAAATTCATTCGGATGGAATAGCTACCAAAAGAAAAGGAAAGAAACAGACACTAAACGTGATCCTGCAACTTATTGAGCTTTCACATGCTGCAGAACAACATTGTAGGCTTCATGCTCCTCCCCGAAATCCTGAGTGCATCCAAAAATTAAATAATTGTAAAGCAAGACAAAACACAACCCTTAAAGAGGAAAAAAACCCAATTCTATGAAATCCATACCTTGACAACCACACAGGAGCAGCCGGTAACTTTCCTAGCTTTTCCCTCAGAATCAATCTTGCACAACTGCAAAAAAAAGACCAACGATTAGTACAACAAAAATGAAATTGAATTTCACAAAGAAACAAACAATCACACTTACACCAGCCCATTCTCCAAGTGTCTTTGCACTGGGAACTGTCAGCAGGCTAACATTGTGCTCAGCACAAAGGGCCTTGACAAGTTTAACATAGTCAGGTTGGTCACAATCTTCTGCAAGAACACAAAGCTGACCTGCGTGCTTCTCAATTACTTTTGCACCTTCGTGAAGGCCGCGAGCAAGACCACCATATGCCAGTGACTTCCTGAGCACTAGTTGCAAGGCAGTCATGATGTCCATTGGCTCACCTGGAATTCCAGGTGCGGCAGCAGCAACAGGCTCAGCTACAACAACAGCTTCCTCACTGCATAGCAAAAATATCATGAAAAAGATAAACCATAGAAGAACCATAACTTAGACAAAAATACTCTAAGACTAGCAGACCGAACACACAAACTCTAAATAAAACATGCATACCAAATACATAAATACACAAACAAAAGAATTAGACATATCATTATTGAATGAGCCTACAAAATAATCACTTTCAAACATTTACAAACAAGTATAACAAGTAATTTCTTATATTAGACTATTAAAATATATCCCACAAGCGCAATTGCAAACATAATGTCAAAGTTTAGTGGGGACTCTGTAACAGGTAATCAGCTGCTTCAAACCCATTTATCCACAATTTCTGGAGATATCAAGAATCGCAAATTTACAATAGCACAATTTTAAAAACAATGAATATCCTTCCTAGTGTTGTTAATCCGATCTAGATTTGCTTAGGCCAACCCCCTAAAGCTATAACACGATAACAGCTATTGCAAACACAAATACCAATATGCAAAGTAAACATAAAAATACAAAATTAGAGAGACCATATTAATTAATAGTTAAAAAGAATAACAGAATAAAGAACATAATTTTACTCTCAAAAGGTTCCAAATTGACATTTAAATTCTTAAAAAAGACAAGGGTTTGAAAATATGCTTTTAGGATATCCTCTTCAAAACACTAATCAAAGTTACAATAGCAATTCGAGGCCGTAAAAGCTACACATGCTTTTGTTGATGGCGGCTTACGGTACAAATGTGTCACACAAAACCCTACAACGGCGCGCAACCAACAACATAGATCCTTCCTCAACAAAAATCTCATGAACTAACGAACCCATAGAACAATCGCTACACAGATAAATACCCAGAACTAACACACCACATACACAATCACAAGACTCATAGAGGCAAAGACCAAATACAGAGCCTCATGACGCGCATAGACCAAACAAACCAAAGACAGGGCAAAATTTGAACAAAATAGCCTACCAAATAATCACTTTCATTCATCGAAGGCTAACGTGAATTATTTAAGTTATGGTCTACATATGCACAATTTCAACAATAATGTCAATGTTTTTGGGTCTACACGACTGCTGAAAAAACCTAATTAACCCACGATTTCGAACAATATCAAAAATCACAGCATAACAATAACACAATCTAAATTACAACTAATACATAACAAAAGTCAGCCATTAGGTTTCTCGAATCAAGTTAACCAGAGATCTCATAACATAAAAAACAATAATAATCACAGAAACAAACCTAAACAAAAATATCCTTTTCTGTAACAAAAAGTTCCACGCTAAGCATTAGAGTACAATACAACAAACCAGATTAAACAAATTTATCTTACCCTGACATTTTCCTAGTGGATTGAAAAAACGAGCTTTCTTTCCTGCACAAACAAACAAATGAAATCAAACTTTGCACGGTAAAAAAGTATCGAAAAACTCAGGTGATAGAGTAAGGAATATCAGAAGAAAAACAATACGAAACGTGAATGGAGTTTCTCACTGTTTCTGGGTGCCAACGACGAGCTCGGCGGCGTTGAGTTCAGTGAGACTCAAATTCCTATCCAACCTCCTTCTGATGCAAAAGAGACGGGTTGTGTTTAGGGTTTTATTCGAAGAATTGGGCCTAAATTATAATCACCTGCAATTTTTTTTGGAATTTCTTTTTGGGAATTTCTTTTTGCACCCATAAAATATGGCGTGCTCAAACAACTCAAAACTCAAATTTGTCTAGACATTTTTAAAATACCTCTTCAGACATGTTTTAAAGCATTCATCCTTTGTAAATTAAATTGTCGTCTTATTTTTTTAAAAAAAATTTTGATCTGCGAAATTTTTTAAGGTGTATTCGAATATGCATCTCAAAAATAACCTTAAACCTCATTTACTTTGCATTTTTCATTGAACTGATTTATTTAATCATTCTGTGACATTTTTGGAAATGTATCTCTGAAAATATCAAGCAAAAAATTAATTATATCACCATCTTGCATGATCATCTCTCTCACATTCCATTTCACTTCCATAACCCAAAAGCCTTAAAAATTGCATCTTTATTTTAATCTAATTTTTTTAAATTTTTAGCTCAGTTGTTATAATACTTTAGTCAATGTATGTGTTGTCGAGTCATTTATGTGTTGTTTATATCGGTTGTTAAATTCTCCTTAAAAATTGAGCACCAGTAATTTTTTTTATGATTCACGAGGTGACACACTCCAAAAATATATATAGCTTAGCTTGTTTTGGTGTATTTGCTATGTTTGAGAAACTTGGGAAAGTTCCGACAAAATCGTTATCATCCTGACACCTTAAGTCTCCCAATTATGTAAATCAATTTGGATACATGTTATGTCGAAACATTAAGTCTTCTTTTTAAGTAATTCTTAAGTAGTTTATATTAGCAGTCAACATCATCTTAGACGCATGCTACGATGCAAATAAGTGAATGATTTTGTGCATAAATGAATAAATAAATAAAAATGAGAATGTGCCCTCTAAGTTAAGTGACCGTCACCAAGTTATTTAATCTAACGGTATCTGAACATTCAAAAATTAATGTTAAAGCCAGTGAGCATGAATTTTATTAAATAAAAATCATGGTCACTAACAAGTTTCCTTACTATTTATGTGAAAAGATAACATGCTTAATGTGATTACGCTTGAATGAAAAAGAATGAAAAATGACAAGTGATATAGGTTGAGCCATAATAGCATGATTTAGATTGGTTTGCATATGAATGAGATTTTTTATCACGAAATATGGAGTTGTATCTTTGTGGTATCCTTGGTGTCGACTCACTATTACCTATCAATCTAACGTTATCCAAACGAAAATGAACAATCACGTACGAGTAGAAGTGATGTTGTGTCTATGTTGCACTTACACTATTTTTATCATGTTAGTTATTTGCTTAAGGACAAACAAAGATTTAAGTGTAGGGGAGTTTAATAACCACATAAGATACCATATTTTTTTACTCGATTCAGTTAACATTTGATGTCATTTTGTCACCTTTTTTAGTGTTGTCCTGGTAGTTTATGTATGTTTCATATGCTTTTTAGGTAGGAGTCGGTACATAAGAAAACGAAACAAAAACTACCAAAAATGGAGAAGAAATGACGAAAATGCACTAGTGACGACCTCTATGGCGTTTTGCATGACATGACAGTCATGGGGAGCCACATACCTTAAAGAACAAGCCAGAGTTGACTTCTGAAGTTCGTGGCGTTCACCAAAGAAGCATGACGTTTTCCATGACCCCACAACCAACCATGTTCAACATACAACACTCACGACGTTTGCCATGAGGCCATGGCGTCTGCCATGGGCTTTAGGGGCTGAAAAATAGGAACAGACTTTGCTCAGTGTTCTCTCACTTCAACAGAAAAATCTCCCACTACTCTTACACAAAGTCACTCTCTTTTCAGTAGTCCGTAACACTATAAATAACCATAATTTTTAGGTTTTCAATATTCAAATTTAGTCAGAATTAATAGAGTTGTAGAGCACTTGTTTTAGACAGAAAAATTCACTATTATAATAGTTACAGTTTCTCACATTGAAGAACTACTACTTATTTTGAATTACTTATTTTTGTAGTAATACATTTTGAATACTTCAATATATTTATGGATTAATACTCATTTTAATACTTAAAAACTTGGCCCTAAAAAGTGTTGAACCGGTAACATAAAGCTAGGAAGGTTTACTAAGTTTCTTGCTTTTATGGTTTAATTGTTTAAAATAATGTTACTAAAATATTTTTTATTAAATAATGTTAAAAATATTTTTTAAACAATTAATAAAATAATAACATTATTAAAACAATAATGTTTGTTTAAAAAATATTAAAACTTTAATATGTAATAAAAATGTTATATACTGAAAGTAATATATTATGTAATAAAAAAATTTTATTTATTTAAAAATATTTGTATTAAGATATATATGTTTAAACTTTATACAAACATTATTATGCAATATTAAAAGCAATGTTTATTTACAAATATTGTTGAAAGTAATATTAAATATTAAAAATAACGTTATTATATAATATTAAACTTTATACAAATATTTGTAAATAAAATAAATATTAAATATATTTTAATATTTATTATTTAAAAAATAAAATAAAATATTAGATATAAATATAATAAATATTCAACTAAAAGTAAATAAAATAATGAATCGAAAGTAAACAATAATAATAAATTAATTGAAATTAAATTATATAAGTGAAATTAATTTCAATTTTATTAAAATTATTATGTAAATATATTAATTGAAATGTTGTATAATATATATATATATATATATATATATATATATATATATATATATATATATATATATATATATATATATATATATATATATATATATATATATATATATATATATATATATATATATATATATATATATATATATATATATATATATATATATATATATATATATATATATATATATATATATATATATATATATATATATATATATATATATATATATATATATATATATATATATATATATATATATATATATATATATATATATATATATATATATATATATATATATATATATATATATATATATATATATATATATATATATATATATATATATATATAACAATTTTTTTTTGCTGCAAACATTTAAATGACAAAAACAAGTGGTCCAGTAGAATGGGGCGCCCCTTGCAAGCATGACACATTAAAAAATATCCTACAAAGCACTGTCACAATTATTATCATTATTTTTAATTATTACTTTTATATTTATTTATTTTTAGCAAAGAGAGAGTTGAAGTCCAACCTACAACAACATTAATCAACACCAACAACTTTTCGCTGGGCAAGCCCAAGCAAGAAGGTTGGACAATAATCTAAAGTACAATTAGAAAATTTTGAATCGAGGCTAGCCTTAGCTAGCTGATTCGCTAGTGAGTTGGCTTCGCGGCAAATAATCTTAAATCGATAATCAACAATATTCATGAGCTCATCTTGGATAGAAGAGACCAAGTGAAGGTCGACTTTTCGTTGAGACTTCTCGCTCAATATATCTTTGTCAACGGTGACATTATCAACCTGAACCTCAACATTGGGATTTTGGCTGCTTTACCAAACAAATTCCTTCGACAACTCCCTGCACACCTCAATGGTATAGTTATTACAGACGCCAATAAAATTTGAAAAATCTTTAATCTAGCCGCCAAATTGATTTTTGATAATCCATCCACAATCAGCTTTACTCCAATTCTGGACACCAACATCATTAACCGCGCTACAAACCACTCGATCCACATTCAGCGTAACCCAATCTTCAACAGCATGGGGCCATTTCCCAATATTTCTCGACTGGCTATTGCTGAAAGCCTTCTTTTGGAACCACATTACTATATTGTAACAATCAAGAGTATACAAGATATAATCACCTAAGCATAAATGGATAGCGAATTTCAAATCATGAAACATTTGATTGCGCCACTGCTAGTTTAAAACAGGTTGTGGCCCAAAGAGCAGTTTAATCCTGATTCTAGAATCTTACATTAGAAGTAATATTCAGGTCCAACTACTCTAAATTATAGGTGAGAAAACTGAGTAGAAGGTGTGCGGAACCAAATAATGTCACACTATCGTAACAGCCTGACAGTCGCGCATAACATGGAGAGCAGACTCCTCCGTATTGAAACACAAATCACATAAGGGATCACGAAATTTATGCTGGTAAAGTAATAAGTTGGTTTTCAAACCTTTTAGCATACAACATCCACACGTGATATTGAACTCTCTCAGAGAACGCAACTTTTCATCAATAAATATGTGCACTTGCGAATAAACAAATCACATCCCATCAATAAGTCTTCACATCAATAAAGAAAAAAATTATTTAAGCAACCATGTGTGACGAGATATTTTAATATTATTATCTTTCCAGAATGCATAAAAATTATAACTTTTATTTTTCATAAAAACTAACCGCTCATTCTTTGAGCAGTCCTTTAAATATGCTTTAAATTGAATTTTAAGTTGTTTTTGAATTATATATCACAAATAATTTCATAAATAAATCTTAACATATCAAGATTTTCATAATCCTACATGGATGCTGAAATATGAATTCTTCAAGAATTCTTCTAAACAATTTTAAAAAAATATTGTGTTAACTAAACACAATTTTCAATAGAATTTATACAAAAATATAATAGATTAACACATTACAATTTAATCTGCAAGATGAAGAGAAAAAAAAATAAAAAATTTACTTGAAAGAGAGAAACAAAATTATCCAAATTGATATTAAGTCACTCTTTAAAATAAAGAGAATGAAAATCAAAATTT